CCATTTAAATTTTAAAAGAACCATGCATTGAAAAGTTTTTAATTATTGTATTAATCCTTTATAAAAGTATAAATCACTTATTAAGCCGCATACCCTTATATTTAGATTCCTATTTGTTTACAATAAAAACTAGTGTAGAAACCGTGTTCACTGTTTAAAATGAAAATGTCATAATTGTTCAAGTGAAGAAAAGTAATATGTAATGCAGACCATCCCTGATTGATCCATGTTTACCTACGCATAATTGAGTATATATTTTTGGAGTTAATTTGCCTTTCTTCAACTTATAGTGCTATCTCACTCATCCATATTAGATGTTAACTTAAATTGTTATGTTATGTGGTTGCAATTATTACAAAAATAGTCTTATTAATCTACTTCTTTGGTTACAAAATCATTTTCCGTGATTCTAAGTTCTAACTCAAAATTCAAAGATCCTCTTTATCAATTCCCAAATTTCTTTCATTTTTTTGTGGTCAACTCTGTTCCTTTAAATAGGCACTGACAGAGTAACAAAAACAAACCCTAGCTAGATAAGATTGCACCTTCTGAAATCAAAGAATCCACTCTCAATGCTTTAAAAACCAAAGGTTAGACCCAATTGATTTTCTTGGCGAGAACATAATGTAAGAAATTGTAATTTCTCAAATGCATAATAATAATCATAATAATAATAATAATAATAATCCAGCATAGTTAACACTAAATTTATAGAAGACAAATGTAATTTTCCATGTATTTTATCATTTTTTGATCAAATCAGTTAAATTAATTTTTATTAAATACATTGATTAAAGTATGACTAATAGATACAAATCGAAACAAGCCTTACATCATTACAAAATTCTACTATGGAGACTAAAGTAAGCCTGCACGTCGTGGAACAATAATTCAAGAGCTTTTGTCCAATGAATCAAAAGAGATACAGATTAAGATATATAAAATCTAGTTGACTACCAAGTTCTTCGAATTCTTTTCAGTTAAATATCATATATCTTTAAGAAGATTGGAACATTTGTACAATGAATCTAAAAGAGTTACGAATCAAGATGTTGTGTCTCTTATACATATATGATATAGTTGACCACCAAGGTCTTCAAATTCATTTCAACCAAGATCATGTATATTATAAAAAGATAGGTGATATAGGGGTTTGTGACATTCCAGTACTTCAACTAAGTCCAAATTAATATTAATAGATTTAGGTTTTATAAATTTGACTTAATATATTTTGAAAATGAAATATGCTGGTAACACACTTTTTTAGCACAATCTCTTAGACATACTCTCTATTATTAGTTAGAATTTATTAAAAATGACAAGTAATTGTTAATCTCACTTCTTATTTAATGGTTTTTCTCATAATTCTGTCATTTCTAATAATTTTCAAACAATAATTAAAAGAGTGTTACTTGTTTTTGAAAATAAGTTTGGATTATATTTTAGATTGTCTCAACTCAATTTCATCTATTTTCAAGAAATACATACATATATTGCTAATTATATCTAATATTTTCACATAACATCATATTGTGTTTATATTTGAAATATATATAATTTTATACTTCTTTATTCCTATAATTTAATTATATAATATTAAGATTAATATATTATTCCGACAAATTAAATAGACATGGTGTGCCATCTTATACATTATACCAGTTCTTGATTGAGTTGGACTCAAATTAAAATAAGAATAATCAACAAAGAAGTCAGAAATAGAAAGAGAGATTGGATGATATGAACAGGTGTATATCGTTAATGTCAACGCCATTTTTCTTTTTTAAAATTTTATTGATTCTTTTTTCGTATTTCAATGTGTGTAAGGGAACCAATTAGTAAAGGAGTCAGAAAATTGTTTAGCTTTATAAAAATAAATAGTTATGCTCAATGAAATTTGAAAATTAGTTGATAAGATACCAAACTCTGATGCTCAATGCATGCATGATCTTGGTAATATATATTCTACGAATAACACAATAAAAATGGATTTTGTATGATATGAATTTAGTTTTGATTAAATTTGAAAAAATAATTGCTATTAAAAACCTCTCTTCATAAACTGTATAATTACAAAGTGGTTTTAATGTAAAAGAAATTAAGCATACTGCATACGTATCCCCCTACCTACTATTAATTGCTATAGGGATGGAAACCGGAATTCAGGATATAAAAAGTGATATATTATGAAATCATTCAATTAAACAAATAGTAGATATATAACTAGGAATAAATCAACTTTTAACTATAACTAAAATGTTTGAAATCCATTCCTTTAATCGGAAATATAAAATCACTCTTTTCAAAAAGCACCAAAATATAAAGCAAATTTTGTAAATTTTTTTGTTATGTTTGCAAGATATAAACAACAAAACAAACACACGAAGGGATTAAGGGGATTAAACCACATTGAAGGATGGATTAACGTTGTTTTGTACCGAAGTGATTGGCGAACACAGCGTAATATGTTGTTGGGTTTGTATGAATTGAAAAGAACAACGACGGCCCATCAACCACGTTGTGCAAGCGCAATCTCCGTTGAAGTCATGTAATGTAACTATACCTTCTGTCCTCACTCCTCAGTAGGGTACATAAGCACATGCTCCCTTACACCACTGCTACAAAAACCTTAAATTTGAACCATGTGAATAACAAGGTAATTAAGAAAAAAAAATTAAAAATCAGTGAAATTCTTTAATAAAAAATAATGATAGACAAATTCACTTGTAAGTTGTAAAGCGGTGGGGGCAAAAGAAAAAGATATGCATATCATATCACTTCGAAACTCATGACAAGATATGTCATACTCTTTCACCTATTTTCACAAACCGACACCGAGTGGCGAGTAGGCATTCCATCCACGAAAACTACTTTAGAGGATATTTTAAAGAATTTGTACAAAATTTATTTCTTTTTGAACTATAAAAAAATAGTTTATGTTCCGAAAAACAAGAAATTGAAAATCCGCAACAAAGAGGTTTTTTATTTCTTATTATTATTGTGTTGTTAAAGAGCATTATAATTTTGTTAGTCTTTTGTTATCAAGACACTACATCAAGGATGTCCATAAAAAAATCATTATAATATGATTATAGTACTGAATTGCCTGCAAATCTGTGAATAAATAATATTGAATTATCCGGTAGTAAATGATGACTTAAAAAAAAAAAGAGTAATACTGAATTACCCACAAATTTGTCAATATATAATATTTAACCTGGTTGATATTCACATACTAACATGCTCATTGCATTTCTTAATTAAAACTGAATATTAATATTATTTATTTGTAATTAAATCATATTCAAATATTTTACAACTAACTAATAATTATAGTTATAAAATTGTTTTATTAATTTATAAGAAAATAATATATACACTAACTACTTAAAAACTCAAATTTATCATGACTTATAATTAGTTGACAGCTATAAAACTTCTACATTGTTAGATAAAAAATTGAACTCCTAACTTATTAACCAACTTCATTATGAGAAGTTTTATTAAAGTTAAAGTAAACTAGAGTAGAAATATTAAATCTAATTATAAAATAAAATGCTTGGCTAACAAAGGTACATGTATTAGAATTAAAAGTGCTTTATACACGGTAAAGATTCGGATGTGGGTTTTTTATTTTTAAAAATACCCATAAGAATAGGTTCGGTTCTAAAATATGTCCAGACGGAGTCCTACCGTCCTGACCCAATCCAACCCAACTTTATATCTATCTTTATGAAGAAGTACCTAAGGAGATCACGAGCTAGGCCCATATAATCAAACTGATTGTCCAAATTTATATACACCTCTTATTTTTTTTAAAAAAAATTATAAAATATTTGTTTTTTTTTTTTTAATTTTTCTAATTTTACACCTTTCGATTTGCTATTTTTTTCTTTATTTTCACACTTTTTTTTTTCTTTCAGTTTTCACATATTCTATTCTTCTATCACCTCTTTCACTTTTTCATATGTACTCAAACCGTAAAATTGATACATAAAAATATTGTAAGTATATGCGACTTTCTCGACAAATTTTACCGAATTAAACACATTTTTTTTCTTCCAACACTTCCTCTTCTTTCACCCTTCCAAAAACCTTATTATTAAATTTTAGTATTATGAAAAAAATACTTTTACTAGTGAAGTTAGTGTTCTAAAAAAAAAATTTATTATATTTTTTACATTCTTTCGAAAAGTACTTTCTTGAATAATATGTTAAAAAACATAAATAACATTGTAGAAAAAGCCACGCACACTCCTATAATATTGTTAATAATTAGTTCTACGTTTTGCATATGTAAAAACTAAAAATATGGAGAAAGGAGATAATAGTAAGAAAATTTAAAGAGAAGAGGAGAAGAGGGTAATGTAAAACTAAGAATTAAAACTACCTACCAAAATAGGTGAGGTGAAGAAAAGATAAGGAAATGCATGTAAAAATTGAAAAAAGATAAAGGAAGATGTGTGAAAAAAAAAGTACTAAATTAAATATTATAGGTATAAAATTAAAAATATTTTAAAATTTTAATTTTTTTTTTAAAAAGAAATGTACTTGTAAAAAAAAAAAAAAAAAAAAGAGGTGTATATATCATTAACCTTTATAATATCCTTAGTTGTTCAACTTAACATTTGTTAGGCCAAAATATATAACAAACACCGCATTTAAAACCCCAAAATAAAAAACTACAGACATTTTTGACACCAAGTCAATACCTGAACTTAAACTCGTGAAGTTCTTGATAGAGGAAGTGTTATCAAGCGAGAAACCGCGCAAAATAATGGTGTAAATTTGTTAAAAGTGCTATCAACGAGTGCTGCACAAAGCCACTACCTCTTTGAAATCTTTTATCGGAAGCATTTGATAATATCCATTACTCCCCCTGTATACTCACTGTCACAATAAAAGGTGGTAATACCAAACCATTTTCTCGTGCCATAATAATATCAATTTAAAATTATTGATTTCACCCTCTTTTATTTTAGTGGTTGAAAAAAAAAACATTGAACAAAAAAAAAACTCTTTAATTCAACCCAACATGCTCATTGACCATAATAGAGCAAAACAAATGCTCCCATTAACATCAGAGTAACATAACCCAGAAATGGAAGGAAAAAAACATAATATTCCACCACTAACTACTACTTTATCACTTCAGTGACAACCCCAATCAAAGTTCAAGGAATAAACACAAAACTAAAAGCTAGGCAGAAGGCACTACAAGTAAAAAATTGGATCACCAACCACCATTACGAGAAGCACCACCATAGCCACCCCCGCCACCATAGCCACCCCCGCCATAACCACCACCACCACTAGATCGAGGTCCAGAAGGCCTATCATTTGCAAAGGATACCCGAATGTTTCTCCCATTTAGATCCTGAAGAACAATAGCATGTCAGTCAACTAAAAATGACTCTAATAACAAAGTTCAATATAAACAGAAGAGCACTCTGACCTGCCCATCCATTGCAGAGAGTGCCGAACTTGCAGATTCGTCACTGGAGAAGTTAACAAACCCAAATCCCCTTGATCTTCCAGTGTCTCTATCAGTTATAACTCTTGCTGTGAAACAGACCCACAAATATAAATGTCAGAAGCAATAATAGAATCAGGCTGACACTTTTTAGTGCAGGCATGAAATCTCAACAGTAACCTTTTTTAATGTTTATTTCAGTTTTTGTGAATAATCAAACCAATAAATTTTCTCATCAGTATACAAGCACCGAAAAAAATTAATGGCTATTTAATAATAATATACAAATGCTAGGATTTTAAGAATTTTAAGAATAACTACCAGATGAAGTGAGAATGATATTCTGCACACAAATTCATGTGGCTAACAAAAATCTAATCTAATGGTGCATCAAATGTCAATAGCAGACTGCAGGAAATGGCAGAAACTGAAATTATGTTGTATCATATAGTGATCAGCCATTGAAACAAATCAATTATCAATTATATATGTATAAAATTACGTTATACGCGGATAAAATAAGCTTCATAAAAACTGGCATAAGCAACACCCCTGTTTTCAGAAAAAATAACATAGATAATTTCCACAATGTTATAATGAGACTGAAATTGAACCATATAACAACAACGAAAGCAAGCATAACTCAAACATATAACAAGAATGAAAACAAGCATAACTCACCCTCAACAACATCTCCAAAGCTAGCAAACGCATCCTTAAGAGACTGATCATCAACCCCATATGAAAGGCCTGCAATAGAAAAGTCCAAAACAATAAGAAAATAAGCACCCACACATGTGGTTTTGTATTCATAACTATCTTTTCAACAAGCTTCAATACCTCCAACGAAAAGCTTGCTTGAAGACATGCAGCGAATAGAATTAAGCATGGATGCAACAGGTGCTTGTCTGCTGCGAGCAGCACCCTGCCTCAAGACATTTCCCAACTTGTTAAACAGTGCCATTACGATTCCGAGTTCCTGATACCAACGATGAGTCCAGTATTGTCATCATCACCGGAATAAAAACACATCATCGTGAGAACGATAACATCCGAATAACAAAATCTAAAAGGTTATAAGCTTCATTTCTCAGAAACCAAAACAACTTTTGCCTATCGCTTTTTAGGCATTATAATCGCCATTTGCCAGACATTAAAAATCACAAAGGCAAACAACAAAAATTTAATCATCCAGAAGCATTCATGATCGCTTGTACAAGTATCAACCCACAAATCAACAAAAAAATAAAACAAAACAAAGCGAAAACAATATAAAAAATTGTACAAATATCAAAGCGGCTAGGGTTTAAGCTCAAATATAACGTAAACAAAATGAAAATGAAAACCCAGTGAAAAGAGAAAACGGAAATGTTAAACACGAATCACCAAAAATTGGGGGAAACACACAAGAACATATAAAAAAAAAACACGCAGATGAGTGCATCAACATGAGTGAAAAGAGAAAAAAAAATGTACCAAATTGAAAAATGATGAGCAAAGCGGCTAGGGTTTAAACTCAAATATCACACTCACAGTCTTTAGGTACTCAAAATATCTTCCATTTTATAGAGTCTAGAAATGAAATCCAGTGCATGTGAGTCTATAGTTTTAAATTACAACCGATGTTGTTGTATGTTGCCTATTGGTCTTTCAATTTTCTTCGTTGACTTTCAACGCTAACGGCTGTATCTTGGGAACCATAAATGTGCTTGCGCTTCACAGGATCGAGTCTCCGTTCATATTAAAATGTGAGGGTCGTTACTGTTAACAAAGTTCTTTTGGACGAGTCAGCTTTACTTAGTGTAAAAAAAAAATTAGTGACGACTTAAGTATAAGACATAAATTAAATCATCTAATTAGTTACAAAAAACAGAAATGAACTAACAGTTTTTAATAAAAGAATAATACTTATACTTTTACGACTTATTTTAAAAATATTTAGAACAGAGGTATTCCTAGATTTATAGTAGTAAATGTATATCTGTTAATAATATAATATTTAAAATATAATATATTTTTAATTTTAATTAAATTTTTATTCCTCCAAATTTGGGATATATTTTTTCTGTCAAATCTAAAATTTGTGTTCTTAGTTTTTATAAATTTTTTTAAAAAAATTACTATTTTAGTTTTTCAAATTTAAAAAGATCGGA